TTGTTAGAAACTTAAAACAAATTTCTAAGGATACAAAGGTACTGAAACAAATGGAATGGCATACCACCCTCTGGGACAGGAAGACTGGCATCATAAAGATGTCAATTCTCAGGCTTACTTGTAAATTTGATGCTCTAATGAAATACCAAACAAGAAATATGCAAGTTTATTCTAAAGTTTATACCAAAAACTTAATAAGCAATAAATGTCCAGGAAAAGGGCAGTAATGGAGAATGTACCATATATTCTCCAATGTTCACCATGTCTTCCTACCCTCTAATACTCTAGCCTAAGAGGCCAACCTCTACAGACTGCATTACACTGGCTCCTTGTCCTCGGCCTCTGACTGAATTTGATCAGTTAGAAGTGCTGGCTGGTGATTAGAGAGGGTAAAGGAGACAAATTGTGTCAAGGTATTTCTTTCCCTGGCTCCCACTATGCTGAACCACAGTCGGCAGTGTCTCTGTTCCCCTGTCTAAAGACACATCTGTTAGGCAACCTCTCTCCAGGACAGACTTTTCACAAGATCTGGTTTGAGCTTCTCTCCTTGCTCCTTCTGGTCTGGAGGTAGTAATGGTTTTCTGTTGTTGATAATCTGCATTATTCTAAATCTCAGTACCTATTTGGAGAGAATTGACATCTTTATCATATTGAACCTTCTAAACCATGAATTTTGTATATCCCTATTAGACCCTTTATTTGTGTCAGTAATGTTTTCCACTTTTCTGCACAGAGGTAACACACAGCTTTCATTACACATACGCTTCATATATTTAGTCATATTATAAATGATATTATTTCTATATATTAAGTCCATTTCCTAAATTTTTGCTGAAATAAAAGTGCAGTTGAATTTTATTCACTAACACTGCATCTACCAAGTGTACTAAATAAACCCACTTATTAATTTGAAAAGTGTTTCTGTAAGTTATTTTGAGTTTTCTATGCAAATTAATTATATTATAGGCAAATAATTGGGTCTTTTCCTATCAAGTCCAGTTCTTAGGTCTTTAGTTTTTATTCTTAATACTTAATATGTCTGACTATATGTGGGATATTAATTTGAAAAACTGTGGATATAATTTGAGGACAGAGTTGTTTTATCATCTTACAGAGATAATTTACACTTGCTTCTGCTAAGGGTCTGGGAACTAGCAATCCAGGTGTATCAACCAATCCAATTTCAGGATTCTGACTTTGACATTTCTTTTTTTTTTTTTTAATATTTATTTCTTTTTGAGAGAGAGAGAGGGAGACAGAGACAGAGCATGAGCATGAGCATGAGCAGGGGAGGACAGAGCAGGAGGGTCAGAGGGAGAGGGAGACCCAGACAGAATCTGAAGCAGGCTCCAGGCTCTGAGCTGTCAACACAGAGCCCAATGGGGGATCTGAACCCATGAACTGTGAGATCATGATCTGAGCTGAAGTTGGGTGCCCTAACTTTGACATTTCTAATCCAAATTATGACTGCACTATCTTGACTTTTATTTTTTTATTTTTTGTAGGAGATTCACAAGTAATTTCTAAGAAAAATTCCCAACTCATTTAAGCCTATGTCCCTGTAATTTAGCCCACTATCCATGCAGCCATTTAGTCCACCCTCCATGTAATTATAGAATCATTAGCTATTCAGACAAAACTTTTGGTTAGGAAACCTAACTGGCTAGCACTTTATGCAAGTTCTAGTTATAAATTTGGATGCCCTGTATGCATTATAAGCATGTACCTTATTATATAAGTACTGATATTTATTTATACTCTAATTCAGGATAAAAATCATTTGAGGTTGAGTTCACAACAATGTTTCATATCATAGTGAGTGACATGAATATTCAATACATATACAAATAATTATGAATTCCAAAGACATAAACCCACAAAGAAATAAAGCTTGGACAACTCTGTCATACATCAATAAAGAAAAGTATATCCAAATAAGAAAGTGCCTAGAACGTTTTCCCCACAATTATGGCTTTGTGCATCTTTTGTGCAATATACAGATTCAGTACAGTGATACTGGTATATCATAATCACCACCATCCCCCTCTAAGAAATAAAAATCATAAAGGAAAGGAGACACATAATACACCCAACTTATTCAGACAAATCAGGAAAAATACTACAGACATCTCAACTACAACCCTATAATGAGGGTTTGAGTCATAGTCCTCTGCTCCAAACTTCCAACTCCACCTCTATAAGCCCTTACAGTCAAGCTCTTAAAATTACACATGGTCCTTTCTTTTACCATAGTGTTATAAAATGCCCATCTGTGGATATTACTGCCTTATTTACTGTAGCTTATAGCTCTTGCAATACACTAAATTCAAGTATACAAAGGGGCAAAATTTAGTAGAAAATGTAATTTTTCAAATGCCATGCACTTAACACTACACTGCATCCTAGATTATGTCCCATGTTCCATCCGAATCATACTCTAAAAGGGAAAGGTCATCATTGGAATATTTTGTGCAGTTATCAGTGCTACATTTTAAGAAAAATATTGATGATACAGATACTGATGATATGGAACACATTCAGAAATGCAACCCCAAACAGTGTAACATCTACAAAGTATATAGCATGAAAAATTATGAGAAATAATAGTTAAACAATGAAAAGATAAAGTTATTGAGAAAGATATCTTCTATTATTTCAAGATCTATGCAATAGAATAGAGATTAGATTGTCTCTGAGGTTTTCTAAATAAGGATTCAAGATTAATGGGTGGATATTGTAAAAAAAATCAAACTTTAACTCAACTGAACAATGTTCAATTTTAACAATATAAACTGAAAAGAACAGTCTTGAAAAGTAACGAGAAACTTATCAACTAAAAGTGTCAAGCAAAGACCAAAAGGTATATTATCTTATTGAGAAGAAGACAGGAATAAATGACAATTTTAAGATTTCTTACAAATCTAAGATTCTAGGGGCGCCTGGGTGGCTCAGTCGGTTGAGCGTCCGAC